GCACAAAATGATGAAAAAGGGGGGTGTGCGCACACTGGTAACCCTAGCTTTTTCCAGGGTTCTCTATGTGCAGCCCATATGGGGGGGTTCTTGAAATTGGATTTTTTTTGCCCCCACAGAGCCCTGAGCCCCGGAACTAATACTGAAATTGTCAGTTTCAGTCAGCCGGTATGCCCCAGTGCGCCACCCCTGTGCCCGCCAACGGGTGTGCACTTGGTAACAAGTTTGGACATGCCCTTTGGCATGCACTTTTCCAAATGTGGTCCCATCAACCCTAGTTGAGATGATCTGGTCCTCTGGTGGGATGATGAAAGGTACAACTGGCAGGCAGAGGCCTCCTTATATAGACAAAAGTGAGGGATTTTAGTTCCAGGGTACATGCAGGTGAGGGAATTTAGCTGGCCTTAAAATCAAATGAGGGAATTTAGCTAGTCTAGTACATGCAGGTGAGGGAATTTAGCTGGTGGGAGCACAGCCTTGAGGGATTTTGGCTAGCCTGGAAGGTTGATCTACTACAAAGGAATGCATGTGTGCCCTAGCTTGCCCAGCCTCTCCATCAAACGCACAAAGTGCGGGAGAGGCTTGTGCCCAAGACAAACACGCTTGCGTGTTTTATCATATTTTTGGAGTGTTTTTTGAGAGAAAAAATATAGAAAATTCACCGCTGACCTATATGCAAAGAAAATTTGGGCTGGGTGTGCCCATGATGGAGATCTACAATTTCATCAAGAAAGAACTGAGAAATATGCAGAACTACATACTTGAGTGTCATTTGGAGTGGTTGTGCACCTCAATCTATATGTGTGTGCCTTTTGACTGTTAGCTTGCCCTGCCACTAAAGTTCAAGTTGAATTTTTGGAATTTTCAATATTCAACATTTTTCAAAAAAATCCCATTCAACCAGTTTTCAGGAAACTTCCCTAAAAGGTTTATAAGAAGATTGACAACATGGTCCATTTTGACAATGCTGACTTTGCCTCCAAAAAAAGCAAAACTACATTCATGGTGGCTGGTTCAAAAACAGCTACACCAAAACATGCCAATAGCGACACACACTGTAGTATGCCAATTGTGTTTCAAGTATCAAATTGCATAAAGTCACAGTTCAATATGTAGAAAGGCATATATTCTGAGGCGTATTATGGCATAATCACATTCTACGGGGCATTTAACCCATAGTCACTCACTGGAACCACTAGGCTAGCTCCACTCAGTCAAAAGTTATTTGGGATTTAAATTTTATTTGCATACAAAATGCTTATTGCATAATGTAAACCACAAGTTGGCCTTAGTCAGCTTACATATTCAATATTCATTGCATAGGGTAACCACAAGTGAGCCACATTGTTTGTATGTACACTGAGAATCATGTATAGGGCTAGAACCACAAGTTGGCCATTTATAGATTATAGGTTAGGGCTAGAACCACAAGTTGGCCATTTATAAATTATTGGTTAGGGCTAGAACCACAAGTCAGCCGGGTTGTAAATGAGACTATTTAAGGAGGGAATTTCCCCCCTCATTCCATCATGAGATCATCTCATCACAACAGATCATCATCTCATCTGATCAGCAACCAGACAGAACAGAGCAATCAATCCATACATTAACCAGTATGATCTAAATCAAGTGCCCCATTGAGATCATTCAGACATTGAGAAGCATAGGAAAAAGAAAGTAGCAACCAGTACAACTTGTGATCTTAAACAAGAGACAGTGATCTTAAACCATTGTGCTCTTGACCAAGATTCAAGGAGGAAGGGAAAGACACTTTCAATAGTCACATTTTTCCTCACTATCATCTCATAAATTCACATTCATCATCAGTACATACGTCAATCATTTTTCAAAATTCATAAACATATAAACAAAAACATCTCTTACTCAACATTTCCACTCAAATAGTCTGCTGAATCCACGTTGATCTAGGTTTGATAAGAGACTGCTACACATAGTTTTCTCTATCATCAGCTTTACCACAACAAATAAATAAATTGTTGTGTTAACTCTAGTGTAGTACAATAGAGGGGCAGGTCTTTCAAACCAGCCGTGACAGTTGTAGTAGATCATTACATAAGTGATATATCTCATCTGCTATTTCCCCCTCACAGGACTGCCACCATTCCCAAAGGAGTTCTCACAGCGCGTGTGTGTGTTTTTGGCACAAGTCCCTCCTTTGGAGGCTTGCTTTGCGAGTGGCGCCAGCCAGCCCAGGTAAACCAGGCCGGCAGAAGCAAGGGACTTGCTTCAATTTAGATGTGTGCCTACAAAGAAATTCAATATGCAGCATAAGCTAGTAAAGGAATTCAGTATAACATAAGAACTATGAATATTCAACTTGAGTATGGTATTCAAAATCAGTTGTAGTCAGAATACTAATAAAGAAAAGCCCCCGTGACAGGTTGAGATAAGTGTAACTTCTGAACTAGTAGAGATATGGGGGTAGTTGTAGCAACACTGGGAAGTTACATGCGTTACAATATCCGGAGGGAATTTTGTAACATAACTTCCCAGCCCATTGGATAACAACATTAGCGTTATCCAGAATGCTATTTTTTTGACCTGTGAGTAATGCAGCAAGAGCAATTTTACCCCTTGTTAGGGAAAAAAAACAACGCAAACAGCACGTTATCCACATTGTGTGAGGGTAAACCCTCTCATTATATGTTTGTTATCCACACTTAATTGTGGTCAATAGCGTAAAAACAATAAAAAAATTGAAAAAAGAAAAAAGAAAACATAACTGAAAGGCTTTTGTGGTTATTGTATTGCTAACGACCACAATTCCGTTCCGTTTTTCATGATTTTTTGTTACTGAAAACGTAACCTCCCAGTGTTGGTTGTAGTGAGTGACTAGGGTTTGTTTTACCTGAGGAATCTATTTCTGATGTTATTTTTACCATATGTCTAATGTATAAAGAGATAAGAGGAAAATTTTATATTTTTGCTGTAGAAACACAGGAATAATTACCACAACAGTTGCTCTGTAAAGAAAGAAAAAAAAATACTATGGTCTCTGGTTTCTTCACCAGGGCAAGCATATGGTTTCTTAAATAAATACTTCATTTAATACTGGGAATTTCTTCTTCTAACAGGATCTACTTATCCAAATCCTTTGGTGGTCTTCCTTCTTTTGGTCAATAAGTAGCTGCTTCCTTTGAATAGTTCCTAAGTTCTCTTCAAACAGTATCCAATTTATCCAAATCCTTCAGTAGTTTTCCTATTTTTGGTCAATAAGTGGCTGCCTGTCAGCCTTTGGGTAACTAACCTGAGTATTTAATAGTAAACAGTTTGTTACTATGAGTTGACTGAAGTTTTTTGAGCGTGGTGAGTGTTAGGTAGTGGGTGATTAATACCAGTCCTGTAAAGAGGAGGTTTCACTCTATCAGTATGGTCTTTAGTGAGAGGCTTGCTATCAACAGCCCATCCGGATCAATACAAGGTATTAATAGGCATCCAGGGTACTAAGACTCACCTGGGATTGATTTGGTTATTCCCCAAAGGGAATGGGCTAACAATACTTATTAAGCTTTAACAAAATTAGTTGAAGATTAACAGGTATTGTTAATGGGAATATTCAGCAAGGCTATGAATATTGTGGATAAGTTGAGTAAGAGTACTGAAGCTTAAGAACAACAAATGTAGACTAGATTTATGTTGGTTACGTGTACTGTATCAATATAAATGTCAACTGTTTTAACTGGTGTCTGAATATTCTGGGGATTAATCAGTGAAAGAGGCACGGATTATAAGTTCCAGAATACTGAAGGGGGGAAAGAATGAGCGCTCAGAATCAAGGGAGCTTTGGCCAGGAGAATGAGCACATCAATTGAGTGACTGATCATTATTTGTCATGATCTGTAAGTTAAAACATAATTGTTTACTAGTTGATCAATGTACTAGTTGCTCTTGATGTGTACTTAACAGATCTTCTAATAATGTAGTCATAATTGTGATCAGTGCATGTATTGAATGTATTAATTCTAATGACACTTAATACTTACTATTTAATACATGTACATATTTATTTGTAATAATATTTGACCGTGAAAATACTGTAGAAGAGGGATAACTTGTGGTACAGGTATTTCACGGACAAAGGAGTGAAAGGTAAGTGATACTTACTTATGTAGAACACAGATATGTATTTAATAGATAAGTAATTAACAGATAAGATAAATATAAGATAAATAAGATAAGTTAATAATAAAGATAAGATAACAAGAGGTAAAGGTAATCAACATTATGGATAAGTACTTATGTACATAAGTACAGGTGTTGCAGTTACTTGGTACATGAAAGGTACTGTGACATGTACTCTGTGGCTGACACTTCCTCCCTCTAAAAAAGGCTGATCCAAGAAATAAATTAATGTTATTTTCTTTTATCAGCTCTGTATTGTCTGAGAATTTTATCAGCATCAGGTATTTTATCAACTTTAAGCCATTCATCTTCTTTGGTACCACTGTATCTTACTAAATATTGTTTAATGTCTTCATTGTTTTTTCTGATTTTTCTATGTTGTAATATCTTCTTGATTTTAATTTCTTCTTTTTCTAAAGGAGGTATTACAACTCTGATGTTATATTTTCTTAAAGGAAATTTATCATTATCACTGGTTTTGTATGGTTTAATCAGACTGACTGGGAATGTAAGGTGTTTTCTTTCTAATTCTCCAGTAAGTATAACTTCAACAGCATTTGCACCGTGTAATTGTTTAATTGTAAAAGGTCCTACAAAGGAATCTCTTAATTTTTTGGGCCCAGTCAGATTTGTAAAATTAAATGTAGATATCAAGACTTGGTCTCCAACTTTAAACTGGTGAGCTTTATGAGTTTTATCCCATCTAGTTTTGTTGTAATCTACAGCTAATTTCACACATTCTGCTGCATATTTTTCAGCTTTGGTCATCATAAAGTAAAAATCAGAGGCACTTGGGTGTATGTGTACTGCTTTTGACATTAAAATCTCTTTGGGAAACCAAGGAGTCCAACCTCTTTCTAATTCATAAGGTGTTTTATTTGTTGTACTGTGTTTGCTAGAATTGTAAGCATATTCAAGTGCAGGTAATAATGAACACCAATCATGAGTATACACCACAAACTTCCACCGACATGGGGTTGACGTGGGAGCCAACGTCGAGCCGACCTCCCCGATACCGCCCAAACTTTCTGGTGTGTCTCTTTGCGGGAGGTATCGGAGCCGCCTTTGGCCCAACTTTCCGATGTGGGCCGAACGTGCGTGCCCGCGGTTGGGATAGCTCCCAACGACGGCCTTCGGTTGGTACTGCGGTCGGTTAGATATGCGACACGGGGCTTTCTTCGGCGATCCCACCTGAGCCGCACAGCATGAGATTTCTAGCGGCATTCCCGGTGTGTTTGACAGCATCCGGATGAGCAGCCTGTCATTGTTACGATGTGAAACAGTTTTTTTTTTTCAGAATTTTTTTTTTTGCGCTTCAGAATAATTGGCGGATGACAATTATGTCCGCAAGAGTAATCATGATTGAACCGGCGGTTAATTTCCGGTTTTGTTATTTCCAAAAAAGAAGAAACCGTCAGATTGCAAATTCCAGCAAAACAAAATATTGAAAACCAGTGCGGTTTTTTTTTGAGGAGAAATAGATAATGCGATCAATAATATAATCTGAAAGAAAAATTTTGGTAGTTTTTACACATAGATTGCTGTTTTTCCTTTGAAAACCGTGAAAAACCATAATGATTGAGCAGGAGAGGAAATAAACGGAAGCCTCAATGAGAAGGGTGTCAGCCAAATAAGCTATTTGAGGGTAGCGGAGATAGTTCCAGTGTTGACAGAGTCCTGGACTTCTTCAAGTGTGGGCACAGAGAATTCTTCGGGTTTCATGCTCTTATAGTTCCTCTTTTGGGAGAAGAGCAGGAAGTCTTTGTTCAAGACAAGGATCAAATGGCTGTGTGAACAAGGAGGGTCATTACATACGTGCAAGGCAAGGACATGGGGTCGAAGAAGTCATGATTAATCACTTACTGTTGCTGGAATTCACACGACAAACCTCGTAGGACAGCCAATCGTTCATCGATGTCCGACCATTGCGAATCCTTCTTGGATTTGTGTACATAGAAATATACCATGACGAGTCGAGCATAGCACATGCGGGCTCGCATCACATAGTTTTCGTGACTTGGTGTGTAATCTCGGCAGTTGTCATCTTACCACCGTTGGGTGGAAGGTCTTCATAGATCTACAATCAAAAAGCACTGTCAATGAGCTTTATGTATCGATTGTGATTTCAAGACTTGTCGAGTACTCACAGAAGTTAACATGGCCTTACGGTTTGGCACATGATCGGTAATGAATATCCTCTTGGTCTCGAGGATGTTTCTCAAAAGCTAGTGCAATAAGAAAAGTATCAGGACTGCGATTTCAAGTGAGCCGTGTATGCAAGCTTACCAGTACACGTAGATTGCTGCGTTGATACTTCAAAAGATCTCCGACCGCTTCACGATATGCAGACGGAGATTGCGGAATGTCTTGATTTGAACTCGGCTGGAGGTGCTCCTCTTTCCAGGCATCGGGCTGTTTTTTGATGGCGTTCTAGAGAAGGAAATAGAGCTTGGTTCAACTGAAATAGTAAAAACCAAAACAAAAGGAACTTACAAGTGTTCGGTAAAACAGAGTTTTGGGGAGGGCCCCATTCTTATGGGGGTTGTTTGAATACGCTTCAAGTGTTGGCAGGAGTAGTATAATTTGAGCTGTTTTTCTAACAAAATCCTGTCGGTTTTGCTTGATAGCTATCAGCAATGAAGAAACAAAGCATCAATCAAGCAAGAAGTATAAATCGAGACACACTTACCCTGAAAGATTGATCAAATACAAAATTTGCGGTTTGTTGGGTAGCTATGCCGGTATTTGGACCATCGAGCTGATGATAGGCAGCATTGGCAAAGATGACAGCAGCGGTTCCTGATTCTGGGACAAACTTTTGATGAAAACAAATGGAACATTGGAAATGAGATATGGGGCTAGAACAAGACCAAGTGGAGGGGTTTACCTTGCTTGTGATCAGAGCAATCTTCAAATGTTGAGGGTTGAGTTTTAACTGAGATTGGAGTTTATCGCAGACTTCCTCAATGGTGTCGTCATCATGATGAGACACAGATCCATCGGTCATCTCAACATTGCGGATAGAGGTAGGCAAAGGGTCAAATAGAGAGGTGGGATCAGTGTGTTCAAACTTGTTGGAGGAAGAACGTCCTTCGTTTGGGATAGGTGATGGTTCATCTTTGACTCCTTCAAATCTGGTGTTGGGATCTTCGAGATCTCCATGGAGGATATTGTTCATGTCAATTGACATCACAGCAAACTGGAGTGAAGGGGTAAGAGAAGTAGAAAATAGATGATAGGTGATGATTGCTTGAATAATGTGATCGAGGGAGAGAGGATGGTCAGAGGCAAGATTGGGAACAGATTGGTTGGGGGAGTGATGAAGAGCTGAATGGAATTTATACCGTTCCTCTGGGCTGATCGGAGGGTGAGGTGGCTGATCGGAGGTTTAAAAGGAAAACAATTGGAGAAAACGGTAAAGGACAATGGTTAGATTCAGAGAGGAAAAATTGGCTAAGTCGTTTAAACCTCTGTTTTCGCTTTGATCCACTGCTTGGTTGAGTTATCATCAAATTAACACGAAGTCGCAACTGGATCATCAAAAAAAAAGTTCAAGTTTTATTAGCATATAACGGAGCAACAAGATGGATACAAGTTTAAGTGTAAGCCTACCGTCATTATTTTGGGCAGCAATGAAATAAAAAATTGAAATTTTTCTTGAAGACTTTGTTGAACGAAATACTACAGTAGGAATGAAGTATGAATGTTGGCTATGTAAAGGAAGGACAACAACCAACCAAAAACGACATACCATGAACCAACGCCATCAAAATCTAGTCCAAATGAACAAAGACCAAGTCGCTCAAAGGGCTTCTCAGAGGGCCGCGGTTGAGGCTTCGACCAACGAGACGTTGATTATGGACGGTGTTAGCAATCTTCTTGAACCTGTGATTGGTATGAATGAAGGCCAGCCTGATCAAGTCCATGCGGATGAAAGCGAACTAGATGAAGAATCGGAAGAGATTCCACCAGGTACATTTGTGGAGGAGGAATCGGATGACAAGGAGGCTGAGCTTAGCTGGATGGACTTTGTGGGCGTAGCAATTGGTCAGATCGATTCGGAACCCGAGGATCTTGATCTACCGTCATCAAGTTTTGTCGCGAAGAAGAAAAAATCAAGAAGATCCGACCCGACAACTCCACCTGGTACCCATTTTTAAATAAAGAGGTAATCAGATACAATACTTTTTCCATCAAAACAAAATCAAAGAAATAAAAAAAATTACCAACTGCTTCGATTTCAGTATCTTATTGGTTCACTCCTGATTGGATACTTACGCAAACTTATCTCACGGGACATGTATCATCTGATACGGAGCGTATTTACCGTCTGTGATGTCCGCCTTCCCCGCTGGGAAGCCTTGCGAATGATGAAAGCAAATATCCGGACACTGATCAATCAGACAATAGTCGAAAAGGAAACAGTCTTCGGTCAGCCAGTTTTTGGTTTGAATGCAATTGAATTGATTTCGGATGTGAGCAAGACTTACCTGATGTTATCTGTGTCGGAGAATTGCTTAAGCTGACCGAGATTGTTGCTGTTTGGTTTCCAACAGGATTTGATGAATCCTTTGGTTGCACCACACCTGGATTTTTTTCCGGAAGAAACTCATGGAAAAAATATCTATAAAAGTTCCCAGTCTGCAAAATGGCTGAAATATACAGAGCCAGATCTTTGAGTGCAGATGGCGGAATCAAAACAAAAACACTTCTACATTTTTGAACCAGTCCGCTTAATATCTTCTGAAATTCTCATTCCCATCTTCTTCTACACCCAACAAAATAAGCTGTTTGCAAAGTGCTATCCTCCCAAGTTCAAATCCAAAAAAGATTGTTCCAAGGTTCAGATTGGAATTCCTCATAACATTTGTCCAACTAGCGAAAACAAGGGCAACCGAAATGAATCCATGGTCAGCAGCTTTCACTCGTCCTTCTCACAATCTTCATCTCAATTCATCCTTGACTCAGGATCTTCAGCACACATGACTTCAAATATTGACTTATTTTTTGCTCTTGATCACTCAGAAAAAGGAGTAGTTCACACCAGCTCCAGTAATGACTCTCTAACGATCAAAGGACGAGGATCAATCAAGCTTGTCAATGAATATGGAACCATCATCCTCCATCATGTTCTTTATGTCCCTGATTTAGTTGTCAATTTACTCTCCGTTTGTTGTCTAGTGCTAGAAAACTATCATGTCCAATTTTCAAAAAATTCATTTGCTATCCTCAAAAATGATGAAATAAAAATGAATGGGAATTACATCTGTAATCTTCCAAGCCTATCATTTACAAACATGAGTCATCAATCACATTTCTCTTCTGCCGAAAACCTTCACAGGTCATTAGGCCATGTGAGCTATCATCAACTAAGACACAAACTCGGCATTCCCCTCAAAGCAGAAAAAACATGTGAAGCTTGTGCCTTAGGAAAAATCACACGTGCCTCGTTCAAATCCAAACATCCTCCGGCCTCAAAACCATTTGAAGAGCTTCATTTGGACTTGATCGGACCCATCTCTCCCTGTTCAAGAGAAGGGGATAAGTACATCTTGACTGTGGTTGATAGCCACACCAGATTCTGCTCAGCCATTCCCATCAAATCAAAAAGTGATGTTGTCTCTGTGTTGTTGAATGCAATGGATCTTGAAGCCAAGCGTTTCGGATATTATCCGAGTGTGTTGCATGCGCATAGAGGAACCGAATTCACTGAACGCCAGTATGAAGGAATTCTGCGATGCAACTCTCATTCGATCTCGTACCTTCGATCCACACACCCCCCAGCAAAGCGGCCTCGCCGAGCAACACAACAGGACAATACTAGAATCTCTGAGGACTATTCTCAAAGACTCAGGATTTCCTCTTTGATTCTGGAGCGACGTCGTGAAGGTCAACACTCTCACGTTAAATCAAATACCTGCTCATAAAAGCAAGAAGTCTCCATTCAAATTGTTCAAGAATCGTTCAATCCCAATTGATTTTTTCCGACCCATCGGCAACAGGGTTTCCTACTTAATCACTTCGCCAAACAACAATTCAAAAGTCATGCCCAAGGGTGAGCTTGGTACTCTTTTAGGACACAATGATGAGATACAATCTTATCAAATCCTAAGTGACAATGGAAAAATGATCGAAACTAAAAGTGTACGCTTTCTTGACCAAATGAAGAACTCCGAAGACTCGAATGAAGAAGATCTCAAAATAATCGAAGAAATCATTTGACCATCAGATCAAGACTCAAACGACAAAGACAATCAGTTGTCGGAATCGAACGATGAAGACGATTCCTCAGCTCTGGAAGAACAACCTCCGCCTATCATTGAAATAGACCTCCGAATCATCATCCAAATCATCATCTGACTCGTCAAGCAGCAATGATGATGAAATCGAAGGCAGCTTGATACCGCAAGAACCTGGATCTAGAAAACTTTGTGATCGCACCGACAAAGTCAAACCTACCAAATACTCTCATCTAACTACGGATCCCTCCTCCTTCAAAAAGGCAATGAACTCTCCGGAAAGCACTGAATGGACAGGGGCAGCTGATGAAGAACTGAACAATATCGAAGCTCACGAGGTATGGGACAACATGTGGTCAAGACCGGACTCCTTTCTTCACACCTTATGGATATTCAAAACGAAACCAGCCACGCTCTCTTCAAAAGAATGCAAGAAGGCTCGACTTTGTATTCAGGGGTTTGCTCAACTACCCGAAGAATGTGGAAATACTTTTGCTCCCACCGGAAAGTTCACGACTCTGCTTATGCTTCTCATGTTTGCTGTCGACAAGAAACTGGACCTTAGGCAATTTGATGTAAAAAGCGCATTCCTGTACGCACCTCTTAAAGAAGAAGTCTATATCAAAACGCCAGAAGGCTCCATACCTCAAATTGAAGAAGTCACTGTACGGTCTCAAACAGGCTCCTGCAAACTGGTATAACACCCTGACAAACTGGTTCGAATCAATCAACTTTCATCAATCAACGTCTGATCCCTGTCTGTACATCCACAACGATAGAAACTCATACATTTTTTTCCATGTGGATGACCTAATTGTGGTAGGAAATGTAAATGCATTCGAATCGCTTTTCATGAATCAATTTCCGAACTCAACAGCTCACGATCCAGACTCTCTTCTAGGCATGGAAGTTAATCAAGAAGAAGGTACGATCCGACTGTCTCAACCAAAGCTGATTCAGAAGGGACTTGAACTACTCGATCTACTTGAATTTCGTACCGTCAAAACTCCGCTCTCAGTGGCTGTGCAACTGAAGGAGGCAACTGAAGAAGAAAAAATAGAATTCAAGAAACTCAATGTCAATTATCAATCATTTACTGGAATTCTCAACTTTCTAGCCTGTTGAACTCGTCCAGATCTTGCCCCTGCAGTCTAAATTTTATCCAGCTTCAACCATGCACCCGGAATCACTCATTGGAAGGAAGTTGAAGAAATCTTGATTTATTGCTAAAAAACCAGAACCAGACTAGACAAAACAGGGAAGTCAGAAGAGAGAAAAGAAAGAGAACAGAGAGAATAATAGAGAGAAGCAAACAGAAAAAGAATCATACCACTAATGAGATGGAAATGATGTGAATATAAAAGAGGACTTTGAAGCAGAGGACAGAAGCAAATAGAGATATAAACTATAAGAGAAAAGAACAAGGAAAAAATGAAGACATTGAAATTGAGTCAGTGAGTTCCACATCAAACAACAGAAAGAAGATAGAAAAGAGAGATTGGTGCTTCATGATAAAGGAATGATGAGTGAGTGACAAACAGCACGTTGAGTAGACGTGAGACTTGATATTGTAGAGGTGCCTGTCTAGGATTCTTGAGGGTATCTGGAATTGTTCTAGGCGAGGAGAAGTGAGAGACGAAGTCAGATTGAGGCAGCGGGGTCAGGGAGTGGAGGCAACTTTACAGAGTAGGTCTTGAGAGGAGGCGATCTTGATCTTGAGTCTTGATCAGAAAAAAGGTAATGGTTCGAGATTGTTGAGTCTACAAAGAATGAGAGTCGAAAATCTTGACGAGTCTAAGGTTGAGAGATTGGCTGAGAAAGCGTCTTTTTACAGATGTTGAGTTAAACCCTAAGCGGTTCCCTTGCCACTACAAAATTGTAGCTATTTTGCTGCGGCGGAAGTCCCGGCTCAAGATGCGGATACTTTGAAAACTCAACAGCCCTCCTTGTTTGATGGGGAAAGAACTGAGAGACATTTATCCTGCAATTTCTTGACAGAGGAGTGTGGAGCTGCTTTGGTAATTGAATCCGCAATCATAGCGTCAGAGGTAATAAGTTCAACATTGATTTCCTTCTTTTTGAATTTTTCTCTGAGGCTTTTGATCTTTATGTCAAGATGTTTGGTTTTTGAGTTAGACCCGAAATTCTTCAATTTTTCTAGGAGCCCCTTGTTGTCGATGGAGAAGGAAGTAGGAGCCAGTTTTTTCTTCCACAGTTCTTCTATCAGAAATTTCAGCCATTGACTTTCTTGTTCTCCGTCTGAGAGAGCGTTCATCTCGGATTCAGTAGATGACATAGTGATATTCTTTTGTTTCTTGCTGTTCCACAGAATGGGGCAAGATTTCCAGAATGCTAGAGATCCGCTCTGAGAGATTCGAGTTTCTTGATCTTTGGCCCACGTGGCGTCGGTGAAGAAGTTGATGCAATCAATGAGAGAATCTGATTTTGGTTTCAAGAGTAAACCAAAGTCCTTGGTCCCCTTCAGGTACTTCCAACAGTGTATCACTTCTTTCCAATGGCTCAATCCGGGTTGCTGATTGAATCTTGACAGAATCGAGACAGCGGATGCAAGATCAGGTCGAGTGCGGCAGGCGAGATAATTAAGCATACCGGTGTAAGAACGATAGTTGATGCCGAGTTTGAGGAAGGCTTGATAGTCTTCATCAGTTGCGGTGCTCAGTTGTATGGCGGGAGTCAATGGGGTTTTTACGGCCTTGCAGTTATGCAAGTCAAGTGAATCTAGTCCTTTTTCAATTAGACCGGGTTGGGAGAGTTCGATGAAGTCTGGCTGAATGTTGAGGTTCATTCCCAGGAGAGTGTCGGGTGAGTGGGCGGTGGAATTTGGGAAGCGTTCCAGGAAGAGTTTTTCAAACTTCTCAACCTGCCCTACTACTATGAGATCATCAACATGGAAGAAGATG